AGCCCTGCTCGTCTGCATATTAACGGGGAATATTTTGTAGAAAGCAGGCTTTTTTTCCTCTAAATAGAAAAAAGGTGGCTCGCCTGCTGTGCAGCTCTCTCCTGCCGAGGCTGATGCAGCGGTGGCGGGTGGTGTGGTGTGGTGGAGCCGCGCACATGCGTAGCGGGGAATATTTCCAGCTTTGTTTTTTTCAGCCATTTTTGCCTCAAAGACGTTTTCAGGTGCCTTGCGTGGGGCGGTTGGAACAGTGGAACATCTTTAAACGTCTGGCGTGGAGAAATCAGGCAGCTGTGTGTGTTTTAAGGAAGACATGGGGGACTCGAGGGGTTTTTGTTTATTCAAGGGATTGGAAGTGATGCATTTTAATTCTCTGATGTGGGGAAAAGGAGCTTTAAGAAACAAGCATTCTGATTAAAATTCAGCCTCTCAAAGAGGACAGTAAGCGGTGCTTGGGTTTTGTTTTTTTTTCCTCCTAATTAAACTACGCTGTGCAGCCATTTAGTGAAAGGGGTTCAAGGAAACAAACCTATTTGCTTCAGGTGGGGAAGATGACGCATATGGAGTAGGAAGCCTCTTATCTTAAAGTACAAATAAAATATAACCCAGGTTGTTCAGCAGTTTCTAGTGATTCATTTTTCAGGCAATGCAAGAACAGAGCTTGGAAAACACAATTCCTGGCTGAAGAGTTCGTTGCTTTTAGCCCAGAGCTTTATAAAATAGCATAATAAACGGGGGGGGGAAACGTATTCTCATTAAAAGAAACAGTGGATCCATTTTGTTTGCAGTGACTGTTTGCAGTGACTATTAATGAATGTTATGGGCAAATGCAAATCAGAAAATTGATTTCTGCAGTTTGCTACTTAATACTTTTTTTAGAAGAGAAAAACCTATCCACCTTATTCCCCCTGATCACCCCCCGATTTTCAGCTGCCCCTAGAAGCTGTGGTAGTAAACTGTGATGTGCAATAAGATCAGAAGTTATTTCCGGCATGTGTACTGGCCTTTTTTTCCACTATCGTTTATAATCAAATTCCTTTCTTTTTCACAGGATGAAAGTGGCTACCAGAATGACAACTACCTTGCTTTGTAACATGATATTTCTGCTGGCATTTGGATTGGCTTCAGCTTTTAGCCACAGCCCTAGGACCCCTGACAGGGTTTCTGAAGCAGATATTCAGAGGCTCCTCCATGGGGTTATGGAGCAATTGGGCATTGCCAGACCCCGGGTAGAATATCCGGCGCACCAGGCTATGAATCTAGTTGGTCCACAGAGCATCGAAGGTAGCTAATTTTTACTTTGAGTATGATGAATTTATTAGTATCCTTTAGTAATAATTACTGTTTTGCATATAGATGCAGAATATCCTGAGCTTAAAATCATGGACTTTGTCACTGTGTTGTTGCCTGATCTTTGTTTTAAAATCATCATCCATCTTTTACCTTCCTTCATGTAATGATTTTGGCAGAAGTAGTAGTGGGGCTTTTTAATGTATAGGCTTTGTAGAAAAAGTCACGTTGTCTTAGAAATGTCTGGTCTCTAGTACCTCAAAACAACAGGTTTACTAAATTCTTCCCCAATAGTGTGTATAAATATATCACATATATATTTCACATGAAACTAACGTGAGCTATAGAGCCCAAATCTCATGGATTTTTTTAGAAACATTTGCAGACCAGAAGAGATCAAATGTTTGCGGTGTCATGCGAGATAAAGGGAGAAACCTTATATGGGGGGTTCTTCTACGTGCTGCAGAACCCTGTGTAGCCTGCCGTGGGACAGGATCAGTGCTGGAGCACGCAGGGCTCCAGCTGCAGGGGTGGAAAGGACACAGGTGCTCCTCTCCCTGTGTCCACAAGTAGCACCTCAATGCTGTGTTGCTGTGATGAGCGTTCTGGGCTCAGGTTCATTTTTTTTGCCAGTACTTCTGGTCTCGCTCTGTGTGAGTAAATTTTCCTTGGAATCAGTCTTTTATAACTATGCAAACCATCTGAAATATCTGGCTCAACTGTTAGGGTATTAGGATAATATTGCAATGTATTGCTATTTGAGTTGTAATAAACTGGCTTTTATTTTGGGATTACAGCAAAAGGTTGATGGTATGCAACTCCAGATACAGTTTATGTGTGAACATCAACACAGAGCAGAAACTCTCAACCCTTCTCTCAGAATTAAACCAATTTGACACAGTGCAGTAAGTCTTCAAAGTTCATAAGTCTGTGCCCTTTATTTTGTCCCCAGTCAGATCTACAGACTATCCTAGCCAAAGAGAGACCATTGCCTTAATAGAGGCTAAGGAGAGGATTAAAGCTGAATAGGCATTTCTACCAGATCATTGCAGACCTAAGTTTATGTATTTTCTAAATAAACTGTGATGGACATCGGCTTTTCTGCAAACTTAAATGACAGAGATTAGGTTAAGGAGTAAAATTTGGTCTGTGCCCTTTCCTCCTCCTTTATGAGTGTTTGTTTGTAGAGAAATTGGGACAGACTGGTAGAAGTGAGTAATTTTACTCTCCTTCTTGCTCTTTTCCCCAGACTTTTTTTTTTAAACCTTAGAAAAGATAAGCAAATCTGGATCTCTGACAAATATTTCATCTCAGCTCTTTGCCATTACTTTCTAATTACAATGTTAGCAAAACCAGATTAAGAATCTCTTCTTTTATATATTTAAGACAAATATTCATCTCAGCTCTTTGCCATTACTTTCTAATTACAATGTTAGCAAAACCAGATTAAGAATCTCTTCTTTTATATATTTAAACTTTTCTGGTGCTTGTGAGACTCGAATAATACTAGTTTTCCAGTCATCCATACAGTCTTCCACAAAAAGCAGGTTGGACAAACCTTTTTCCCCCCCCCGGCTCTTTCTTTTCTTTTTTCCTTTTTTAAAATAAAAATACCTTCTGTGTATATAACAGAGTAAAACAGAAACGTGATAAATCCAGTTTATTTATCATATTTAACATTCCCTTCTTGATCAGATAAGGATGACTCTCTCTCTTCGAGTCTACCATGGAAATTTAACAGCCCATTGAGAAATTTCTCCAAAAGCAAAAAAGCCTTGTGAGGTGAACGCTATCAATCAGTGTAGAAATAGGCATGCAAATCAGACCTTCATGTCAAACATTGCTTTTCATAGAGCGTTTTGTGGTAAGTTTTTCAGATAGTAATCACTTGCTCTTTCTTTGGTTTCTTGTGGTGATATGTGTCTATCTATAGATAGATAGATATCTCTTAAAGTATTCGATTAGAAACTTCAACTTAAGAAAGTGTTTTGAAAGCGCTGGTTCCAGTTACAAGTTTAACATGGTCTTATGTCGTTCTACACAATATTTTGTCGTACTGCTTTTTTAAAAAGTACATATAATTCAGTAAATTTTCACCATGAGTTTATCTTTAAATATAGACCATGAATTACAGGATAGCTTATCCAACAAAACTTGCATTTCATTCTGTACCAGTGATTTTAACTATTACATTGTGAAAGACTTCAGAATTTAATATACCAATTACTAATCAGTTAACAATGCTCTGTTTCATTGTCTTTGAATATTTATTTTTGTGTAATTTGGGGAAAAACGTGCACAATGGGTATGACTTTCTCTTAGGTGTCTACTTTGGAAACAGAACTGCTAAAATGGCACAGTAAGACATTTATTCAAAACAGTCTAGTTCTGTAAGAGATTCCCATACATAATGCTTCCACATATTGTACCTGCCTGAAAAACTGCAGTTTTTACCATTTTCCCCACAGTCTGCCCACTACTTGGTTATTGCCAGGGGACTGACGTTCCTGACCTCCCAGCAGCTCCAGTCAGCCAATGTTTTCTGAACAAAACAGAATAGGAACTGGATTCGGGCAAGGACCTTGTCCTCTGGCGAGGAATGAGGACAGGAGGCATTTGAATGAGGACTCCCATGAGGCATTGACCTGTTATGGGCAGATGAAGTGTAATGCTCAGTATAGTAAAAATACTGTGTCCTTTCTGAGCTGGGGGGTTTTTTGGTTTGTTTGTTGGGGGGGGGGCAGGGGGCTGGATCTTACCCACATATTTTGTGAAATTCTGTCACATGCTGTAGAAACAGAATTTCCTCAGAGGAGGAAGCTCCAATCTCTGCTCTGCTAAACAGACCTGCAGGACTTTCTGGAAGAATGCTTCTGATGGTGGTGAGCTCTTACAGCTTGCTTGTGTCTTAGATACTTCTTGGCCAATGTGCAAGGAGGCGAACTGAGCAGCGCAAGAAACAGTGTCATGGGTTCTAATGTTTAAGCAAAAAAACCTCTGCCTGTAGCACAGGTGTCAGCTGACAAGAGTATTGAGGAAAATTGAGAGAGGACTTGTGATTGTTGTTTCCAGTGGTATCCGTATGAACAGTAAGTAATTTATGGTTGAGAAAAAATAACTGCATGTGTTTTTGGAGTCCATCAGTACAAGGTTTCAGATTATGAAGGATTCACCTGTGGGCTTTCCACAACATAGTTACACTGTTATCACTGGCTAATAATTCTGTGTGCAAGTGCTTAAAAAAATCTACAAGATAATAGAAGGGAAAACTAAGGGGGAAGGGAAGAAAGAGGTTTAACAGTAATTGGAATATATCACAGCAAAATAGGGTTTTCATCCCAAATACCATCATGGCAAAGTGGTAATTCACCAACTACTCTCCTGAGGTGCTGTCTTCATTGGGAATTTTTGCCTGAAAGTAGCGGAGAGTAGAATCGGGTATGAAACTCTTATTATTTATGAGAAATTCTGAGCTGCCAGGAGTGTTGACTTCCAGCCATTTTTCAGACTGTGGGTTGCAGTGACCAATGTAGACAGTTTAAAACCTGGTTCATCCCATGCCAGCATCCTCATCATCAACCCACTGACTGTTCTGGAGTGCGTCTGTTTCTCATTTTGACGAGATATTGCATCTCAGCATAAAAAAACTTGTATCAGTCAGAGCTTAATAAATTTAGTATGTTCCTACAGAAAATTGTTTTACTTAACAAAATGTTTTTGTCAGAAATTGCCCCAGCAGTGTAGACCTGCAGCAGTGTTGATAGCTGCGGATGCCATCAGCTTCAGCCGAGACAGGATTCCAGAAGTACCACTGATTTTCAAAAGGCCAAGATTTCACCCGTTATATGTATACACTTGCAAATGAGGTGCTGTCAGGAAAAATTAGTTTCTGTGGCTTTGGAATTTGGAAACAAATTTAGGCTGCCATAATATAGACAAGTTTATATTAGCAGCCTGATTTTAATGAAATGTTTGCAAATTTGAGTGATTATTATAATAAACTTTTCCAGCTGAGTAAGATCTTAATTATTTTGTATGTAACAAAAATACTATTGCTGTTAGTTCATAAGCAGATTTCCTAATTATGCCCATTTTCCATCTCAGCTGTCTACATTTTTTTCCTGGCATTAATCATCGTACTTTGACTTTAAAATGCTAAAAACCAGAGGGTGGATGTGTTGCAAGGAACTATACATGGTCTGCCCCACCCCACTCACCGCCCCCCCCCCC